CTTCATCCCACGGATCTCATTTGCCAGTGCTGAGAAAGGCAAAGTGACCAGCCACTTGGGGTGAATGAGGGGAATGGAGGTACCTGACCGCCATCCATAGCTATTCTGTCAAACGCTTGAGAGAGAAGTTTAAAGACTAGAGATGGGAGGAGAGACAATCACACCCCAGATGCTCTCAGTGAGTGAGACGACAGGCGTCCCCATGATCGTCCACCACCACGGTGAAGTCCCAGCCCCATAGCGATAGCTCAGGCTGCCTGCCCACTACCTAGACCAGCCTTAACTTTGAACCCAGTGCATTGCCAGAGCCCTGTCCATCATCAACGTTGAGCCAGCCTTGACCATCACCGATACTATGCCAGCCATGACTGTTACCGACATCATGACAGCCCTGACCACCGCCAACACCACATCAGCCCTGAATGCTAAAGTACATCCCAGAGGGGGGAAATGCTTTGGTTGACATCCTATCCAGATTGCCCCAGTATAAAAGTCACCGTGAGGACATTGTGAACTCCATCATTCCACAATCACAGTCAATCTCTCAGATAACCCCAGGGAGACAACAACAAACAAACCCACTGAGTCAGACAGCCCATTAATGAAAAAGCTAAAGGAGGAATTGGAAGCTGATTCCTGGTTTCAGGAAAACAAAACCATACTGACTTATCGAGATGGGCTAGCCTGCCAGAAACACTCAGAGTTCAGGCACTCCAGTGCAGCCATGATACCAAACGGGCTGGCCATTTTGGATACCTTAAGACATTTGGTCCAGAGGCAGTTTTGGTGGCCAGGTTTGAAAATTGACTTTGAAAATTTAATAAAGAGAAACTGAAACAAAATACAAACAAAAAAACAAAAGGTATCTGTGGGTAAATTGCAAGGGAACAACTGATGTCATGCACATTATAATGAAGTAATGATCTAATGATGTAATTGGGGATACACAAAGGCCCAAGTGCACTGGATTCTGGAAAATTAGAGTGCAAGGTCCTTTCCCATGTGGTTCTCCTTCTCTACACTCTGCTCACCATACTAGCATCCAATCTCTTGCACCCCTCGGATTGCTCCACTCCTGGCTGAGGAAGGAGCATCAACTTCCTTCTCCATGCAGTCCCAACATGGGTGCCCAGCAGTCTGCAAAAGAGACCTGGGGCAGGGCATTAAGAGTAGATGACCATGGTGGCTTCAGAGACTAAGAACAGGAGGAGATAAACACATGGCAGCTAGGCTGAGAGGTATTGAAGGAGTGGCTCATTCATCTCATTTGCCAATTGTATCCAAGCTCCTGTCTCCCTTCCCAATGTCCTTTGCAGTTCAAGGTAGGTCTACATCCAACTTTGGTGCCTCCACTCCATTGCCCAATATCTTCAGCTAAGCATGGCAATGTGGGCTGTGGATCTCCAGCAGTTGCAATCCTGAGGATCTTAAGGACATTGGGTTGGGAAAGATTGGGAAGGTCATCATCATCAACAACATTAGCATCATCATCTATAGATGTTAAGC